AAAATAAGACACTTCACTATGTTACAATTCATATGGAGGACGTCTTTTTATATATTTTTATTTCAGATTTCAAATTTAGTTGACAAATTTTTTTTATCACTATATACTTTTTCAATTTTTAATTTTTATGTTTATGACATTCATTTATTTATCATAATTATATATGAATTAAAATTCAATATTTTTAAATAAATTATTAATAAATAAAAATAATCTTGTATTGTAATATAAATTATTTATCATAAATATAAAATATAGTTAAAAATATTTATTTATATAAATTTTAAATATAATTCATATATTCAAATATAGTATATATATATATATATATATAAATACTAATATTTGAATATATTATAAAGCTAAAATACTAATAATTATATTAAAAGTTATATAAACTACAGTTTTTTTATTAACTAGCTATGTAAAATTTTGAAATTAGTTATCACCATTAAACCCTATTTATATAGACGAAAAATGTTTAACTCAATAACCACTCATTACATGAACCAAAATAAACGCAGTAAAGGGGAAAAGAAACATAGGCTAGTTAATTTGGAGTGAGCAAAAAGAGAAACAGAAAGCAGATGGTATTTGAAGGTTAGCAAATGAGAGAAATAGTATAATAACATAAAACACGCTTCCTTGGAATGGAATCTCGATACTTGTCGTGTTCACTGTTCCAACCTTCTCTTTGTTTGGTTCCACTCCTAACACTTTTCTTAATTCAGTATTACTGCCATTAAGTTAACGATCTGGTATCAAGTGATCGATTAGGTGTACTAGCCTAAACGATAGAGTGGAATTGTTGTCTGGAGGCTAGCTTAAGCGAGCTCATGCGAGCTCTTTCTTAAGTAAGCAAGTATGCTACCTTAAGCCAGTGAAAGTCTTTGTCCTTATCTATAGTTAAAGCAAGCATGTCTACTAGCTTAAGAGAGCTCTAGCTAAAGTGAACATATGTGATAGGTTAAGCGAGCAAAATGTTCATTTGAGAGTTAGCTTAAGGGTAAGGCTAATCCAACATAATTTTAGGTCTAAAATAAATTTTTAAATGAGATATTTTTAAAAATAAATAATGATATATTTTGATAAAATAAAATAAAATAATTTTAATAAAAATAGTTTTTATTAAAAGTTTATTTTTCGAGCATGTAAAATTGTTTATTAAATTATCATAATCAATTTTTTTATCATTTCTTTTTTGGTAGATGTTAAATTTAATCCATTTAATTTTTGTGTAGACATTGTTGATCTTAAATAAGATTTAATTAATTATAATTTTAAAAAAATTCTTTCAATCAATGCAACACTTACAAGAATTGTTAACATCATTCTTTAAGTAATATATGCATTTGGAAAAGAATTAATTCTTTTTAAATAATTAAGTATGTCAATTGGTGTATTATTTTTTACTTGTATAAATTCTCTTACAATTTTAAGTTCCGTAGATAAATCTAATCTATCAATATATCAGTGATTATTATGTTTTAATAAAATGTTAAAGATTAAGGCAATATTCTTTTAAATTTTTATTGTCTAGTGACTTTAATTTCTCAATGCTAAATAGAAAATTAAAGATATCTTCATTACATTTTAAATTGTTCAAATTTACTTTGTGAAGTAGAAATTACTTGATCTATTATATATATATAATCAATTTTAAATGATTCTTTGGGAGATTTTATAATTTTATTATCAATAATCTCCAAATTTTTTTCTAGCTATGAATAATACATCTTTCACAAAATTTAGGTTGTATATTCATTTCAATATGAAAATTTTTTTAGCATAAATTATGTCATTTTCAAACTCGTCTTCTCTATACTTTAAAAAAAAAATAAGAATTTTTAATATTCTATAGCAACATAAATACTCATATCTTTTGACTCAAAATTTTTAATAATTGAATTTACTACAAATAATATGTCATACTAAATAGTCACATGCCTAACGAAAATTCAAAATTTTCAAGCTCATAAGTTGTTAAACAAACAACTTTACTTTTTATTTAGGATCATCGTTAGTTTCATTTAATTTCAATAAAGTATCTCTTATTTGTGAATTTTGAAATTTTAAAGCTTTTACACTTTCACTAAGACTTCCCCGATGTGTTTGTGGCAATGATTTGAGAGTTAAGCTAGGGATATGATTTTTTAGAATTTTTCATTTTTTAGTTGAAGGAGAAAATAAAGTATATATACGTTGTAATACTCCAAAAAAAATGAAGTAGCTTTAGAACAAGAATATTAGTCATATCACAAAGTATCAAATTTAGACTATGACATAAAACATAAAATGATCTAGGATTAATGTCTAAAATTCTTTTTTTGCACACCTTGATATTTTCATTTCATATTTGATTCATTATCATAATCTTGTCCTCTTTGGTTATTGATGTCAAGTCCAATAATATTTATTTCATTCATAATAGCATCAAAAAGACCCTTTTCCACTTGTATCTTATACTTTGAAAAATTCTAAAAAAAAAATATTCATAGACTTATATATGTTAGAGTTGAAGATACATCTACACATCATAATACTAAAGGCATTTGTTCTTTATGACTTATATCTCGAGTACAATCAAGTATCAGTGAAAGTATTTTTCATTCTTAATTTTTTTTAATAATTTTTGTGTTAATTTCACTTGCGAACAAATTTATTATTTCATTTTGTATTCTATGTCCAAGGTAATGATAATAAATTTCATTACCTTTAATCCGACGAATGTGATCTTACATTATAGGATCAAATTCTACAATCATTTCAATTATACTTAAAAAGAATCCATTATTTTCTTTATAAATCTATTCATTTGTTGCATTGAAGGTTAAGTTATTTTTTTTTCAATTTTTCAAGAGTTTTAACAATCGCAATATAACTCCAAGTAATGCATTTTCCCAATGTTTCTTATCTCTATTTATTTATTCTTGAACATGTTTATCAATATTTTATTTTTTAAGAATCTAGTTTCTAAGATAATCCATGAAGTCATATTAGACATGTGTTCTTTACTTATTTCATGACTCCTCAATTTAAGATTAATATTCCTCCAACCCCTGCTACCTTCATTAGCTAATTTACTTGTACTAGGAGCAACATTAAACAATTTGTAACAAAAAACAAAATACATTGTCCAAGTCTTGGGAATAAATCAATCATCTTCTTTCACATGTTTTACCATTGGACAACTTTTGAATGTAAAATGATAAAGAAAAGTGTCTTGAGAATTCATTTTTAAGAAAATCTATATTGTTAACTTTAATAGGACTTTTTTCTATTAACAAGTTTCTCAAACACTAACATTTGTCCACGGACTTGATCATATATATTTTTTGTTGTTACTTCTAATTTTTTAATTTCTTTTTCTTCTTCATTGTGAGGATGAGCATCAATAGAATCTTATTCATTAACTAATATTTCTTCTCTATTTTCATTGTGAGTTTGAGAATCAATATAATATTATTCATCAACTTATATATGTCTTCTCTATTTTCATTTTCCTTAGTATTTACATTATTAACTTGTTCATTTAATGAACAATCACCTATATTTTCAACTTTACTTTTCTTATTTGTGGTGATAAATCTATTTATAGCTCTCTTTTGTGTGACTCAATTAAAGCATCAACTGTTTTTCTTTTTCCTGGAATAACTAGATTCATATTTTTTGGTTGATATTTTAAAATAAAGCAATTAATGTTTGATACTATATTAAAAAATATATAAAAAATAAATACTTATAAATCAAGAATACAAAGAAACTCATTATGGTGTTCTTGGTAGAGTGTGATCTATGAAAAAGAGATTATTCTACTCATAGGATCTTTTAATGAAATTAGCTTTTGAAAATTTATCTCATCAAACTCCAAAAACTCGTACGTTACAAAAGAGAATTACCAAAATAAATCAACATAAAGTACCCAATAAAGAAACCCTTCGTCATGTTGTCTTTGCGGCCTGTGAAAGTCAAAGCATACAACAAGCACAGTGATGTGAGAAAACATAAATGGAAGAGTGTTAGCAAATAAGACAATAATGTCCATACCTTAGCATTTTCAAAAATGGTTCAGCTTTAGCCCTAAATGACTTTCTTTTTTGAACAGCTAAGAAAATTTTCATGAAAAGGTACCAGTGGTACCAAAAAGAGAAAAAGAAAAGTGTACATATAGAACCAAACATATCAGTCCCATGAAGAGAATAAAAGGGAAAAGAAAATTACACACTTCTATCGCTTCTTCCGTTGTTTCAGTAAACCCTTCACAACCCTCTACTAGTGCCCTATATAAGAAACGCTCCCCCACACTCCCAACCTCTCTAGCTAATCGTGTTGATTTTTTTAACATCTCCTCCCCATTCCTCACAAAAAAAGTTCATTACCCGACCCTTCCCTACAAGATTGCAAACTAGCCTACCCAGTTATTGATATCACCTTACCATATATACACCCCACTCCCATCCTAGCTGTCTTCCACCTACACCGACACATCAGGCCCCTAATCAGCATATGCATAGACCAGGATTGCAGCACCATTGTGAAAAAGTATACTGGAAAGTCTTTGTGAAGGATGATAGCCACCTCCAGCTGTGAACCTGAATCTCTTTCACCAGACTATCAAAACAGAAGCTGTTATCATTGAACCTGCAGAGGTTCCTTGTCCTCCACACTGTCCAAGTAGTGACCAACCACATGGTACGCCAATATTCAACCTGTGCATTTTTGTGAATAGGTCAAGGAATGAAGTTGAAATGCTCCAAAATGCACCTAGGGAGGGGGGCAGGACAATTAATCCAAGACAGACATACCTTCCATACTTTGTCAACCACCTGGCAGGTGCAGAACAAATGATAATCAGTTTCAATATCTTGCTTACAAAATACACATAGTGCATCATTATCTGATAGGGCAATGCTCCTACTAGCCAGATTATCCACCGTCGGGAGGCGCCTACTCATCATTCTCCAAGCAAAAATTTTAGCTTTTGGTGGTGCCGGGATGGACTAAATAATGTTAGGTGCACCATTATTGGATCCTACAACAACTTCAGAGGTGATGGCACTATATGCAGACCTGACTGTATAAGTTCCAGACGGTTCACACAACCACCACCATGAGTCAACCTGCTCGGCCCTAGGACTACATTCTGCAAGTTGTTGCATTAATTGCTGCCCCAACGGTATCTCCCATTCGAACCTTTCCCGCCTCCATTGTGGCTTCCAAGCCCAACTATTGTCCTTCCAAGATCCCATATCCTGAATAAAATGATTTTGCTGCTCAGAAATAGTGAATAGCCTCAGAAAAACACTTGCTAGGCAGGTTGGGCCCGTCCAATTATCTAGCCAAAATCTAGCTCTTGATCCAGATCCAATTCTCCACTTAAACTTCCTTTCAAACCAATTGTCTTGTTCTAGTCCACCACATACCATAAGTAGATCCCTCCACCATATGGAATCACTTCGGGAACTACTTTGAGCACAAAGATTTGTCCCACCACCATATCTCGAATATAATACCCTGGCCCATAGAGAATCATTTTGGTGAAAAAGAGACCACCTCCACTTGGCTAACAAAGCCATATTAAACCTGGTAATATTTTTGACTCCTAATCCTCCCATCTTCTTTGGCAAAGTCACCGTATCCCAGCTTATCCAGCAAATTTTGCGTTGATCTTCCTTACAACCCTATAGAAAGTTTCTTTGTAAACTAATGATTTCTTTACTGACACTAGCAGGCATTCTGAAGAAGGAGAGAAATAATAGTGGTAGCGAGGTTAGTACCAAGTTCAATAAGCACACTCTACCAGCCATTGATAGGACCTTGCACTTCCATGATGACAACTTTTTCTGAATTTTGATAACGGTGGGCCTCCACGTCTCTTTCTTCCTTGGATTGGCGCCAATGGGAATCCCGAGATATGTAAAAGGAAAGGATAGAAGTGTGCAATTCGATAAGTGAGCATAACCTTCCACCAAACCAGAATCAATTCCCATAGCTCCAAACTTGCTCTTACAAAAGTTGACTTTCAAACCTGAAACCATCTCGAAGCATCTCATCATACTTTTAATTGCCATTACATTCTGTATGTTTGCCTCACCAATAAACATAGTATCATCAGCGTATTGGATAATACTGATAGGAACCTGTTGAGAGCCAACCTTCACACCACAAAAGCTATTTTGACTCACTGCTTCCCTCATCAATCCTGTTAACCCTTCCGCTACCACTGTGAAAAGGAACGGGGACAGTGGATCACCCTGTCTAAGCCCCCTTTTGGAACTGAATTCCTCTGAAGGGCTTCCGTTCACAAGCACAGACACTCTGGATGATATGAGGCATTCACTGATCCAACTAACCCATAGGTTATTGAAGCCAAGACGTCTTAGCATATACAGAATATATGTCCAACACACTGAATCATACGCCTTTTCTTAATCCACCTTAAAAAATATTTTTTTCTTATTCAATCTCTTAGCCTCGTCCACAACTTCGTTTACAACCAATGCACTGTGAAGGATATTCCTATCCCCAATAAAGGCACTTTGCCTCTCATTAATAACACTAGGCAAGACACGCTTCAATCTATTTACAAGCACCTTGGACAAGATCTTGTACATACAGCCTACCAGAGAAATAGGCCTGTAATCACTAAGACATTGAGGATCATCTCTCTTAGGAATTAGAGTGATGAATGCCGAATTTGTTCCCCTAGGTAATCTTCCTTTGTTATGGAAGTCTCTGATAAAGCGACAAATATCCTCACCCAATGTACCCCAAAATTCTTTTAAGAATCTAAAATTCAAACCGTCAGGGCCAGGGCACTTCGAGTTGCCACATTCCCATATTGCCGACCGAATCTCCACATCAGTGAAAGGAGCTATAAGCAATTCATTTTGTTCTGAGGATATGACCTTGAAGCGTACACCATCCAACACTGGTCTAGGTTGGCACTGTTCTTGGAATCTTGTTGGAAATAGTCTTTTACATGGGCTTTGACCACCTTAGGTTCATCTGACCACACCCCATTTATGTATAGTCCCTCAGTTCATTCTTTCTTCTTCTCCAATTGATCATTAAGTGAAAAAACTTTGTGTTCATGTCTCCGTCTTTTAGCCAAGAGACTCTAGATTTTTGAGCTAGAATTGATTCGTTTCTAATAGCCACCTCCCAGAACTAATTTTGAAGTTCTACTCGATTCGACCATTCAGCTTCAGTCAGACCTGCTTCCTCTTCCTTCTTATCCAGCCTACTTAGCATACTCACAATCATTTTCTGTGACGACATCGGATCGATCCTCAAACTTGTAAGAATTCCATTCTCTTAACTTTCCTTTGAGAATTTTAAACTTCTCTTTCAATACATAAGCCCCCCAGCCATGAATGGACAACTCCTGCCATGTATCAACAACAAATTTCTTGAAAGAAGGGTCCTGAAACCAGTGATTAAGCGAGCGAAAAGGCTTCGGTCCCCAATCCGAGTTTGAAACTTGAAGTTTAATCGGGCAATGGTCTGAAATGCATCTGTCCATGATCATTTGCGTACTACCCGGCCATGCTAGCAACCATTCCCTAGAAACCAGAATTCTGTCTAGCCTACTCCTCACTGTACCATTCGGCTTGTACCATGAAAACCTCCTCCCTACAGTCGGTAGATCCTCTACTTCCATATTCTCAATGAACTCATTAAAGGCACACATATCTGACTGACTACACCTAGTCCTTGACATACTCACTCTCTCTGCTTCACACCTTATACTATTAAAATCTCCCACCACACACCAAAAGTTAACTGAACTAAGTCTTCTTTTGACCGTAATCTCATCCCAAACACCCATTCGTGCAACTCTTTGACACAGCGCATAGACATTTAGCAAGCCTTGATCGATAATCTTTTGGGAATATATATAGAATGTCACCAATGTCGAAGGAAAAGCTTGGAGAGCCTTCTAAGCCACATCGAGAATGTCGCAGGAAAAATGCTTCCTCATTAGGACGGTGAAAGTATCGGCTATTCCTTTCATATGCGACACAAAATTTTATTTGTGACACGACGTTGGTCATCCTTGCACGACCTATTATTAAATGGACCTACTAAATCGATTATTACGTCACTAGTTTAATATACTAGATACAAAATCGGTTACGAGCTTAATCGTTTTGGTATGTGTTACTAAACCAGTAACTATTTAACTGAGTAATAAGTCACACATATAAAATTGATTTAAAACTTGTTTGAATAAAAGTGTTTCTGGTAATTTTTCTAATAGAAATATAGAGTATTTTCTAATAGAAAAACTCTAAAAAAAAATGTTTTTAAACTTATATTTAAACAATTTTAATTTGTAATTAATTTTGTTATATACAAAATTGGTTATGTGATAATTCTGTGACTTTCTTAAGATTCTTGATGTTGGGTTTAGAACTCTCACCTTTGGGTTCGAAGATTGATTGATTTGTTTGATTTGTGAATTATGATGCATGAATTGATGTTTATAAATTATTAAGTATTATAAAACATTTGTATGTCTTTTGGTGTTGAATGTGTGGTGGTTGAGCCATCGAAGGGCATGTGAATCCCTCCAAATCGGGAAAATCGTGTTTATATGCAAGTGATTTTGCAATCAGGTTAAGCATTACAACAAAATAGACCTTTAGTGACATTTAATATGATTTTTAGTGTCAATTTTATTGTTACAAAATCTTTTACTGGCATTTTCACATTAGTCATTATATGCAGTGTCGCTAAAATATTTTGCAGCAATTATTCTAAATATTGGTAAAAACTCTTATAATGGTCAAAAAAAGTGTATAACTTTTTGTGGCATTGTTTACTTTCTAGTCGATGTGAGACTTGTAAGATGAAGGTTGTCTTCTATTTATATTTTTTTTTTTAATTTTCTTATTTTTTTATAATTACTTTATCTATAATTGATGTGTGACTTGTAAGATGAGGATTGTCTTCTACTTATATATTCTTTTTAATTTGCTTATTTTTTTAATTATTTTATCAATAGTCGGTTCCCTCAAGTTTAGAGACTATTGAGTTTAATAATAGTGAGTAATCTCTTACCAACTTAGAATAGTAAGTTATAGGTCTAACTCAACCCTACAAAAAAAATTTGTAAGGTGAGAGTTATCATCCATTTATATACTCTTTAATTATCTTATTTCTAGTCGATGTGAGACTTAATTTTTTCCTAATAAATAATTATCGCTAATAGTAAATTTTAGTGTAATGTAAATACATTTTTAGTAGTCATTATATATTAATCATTAATATTTTTATTAAATATTAAAACAAAGATAATTAATTTATTATCGTTAAATAATTATCAATAATAATAAATTTTGTTGTAGTGATGGAAAATATAGGACTTAGTGCTATTGGGCTAAGCACGGTAATTATGAGGTCAAGTGTGAAGCTCCTTAGATCATCCCCTACTCTTTTTTCTCTTGACCCTAAGCAAAAGAAATATTTTGCTAAGTGTGGTACATTACAAAATTAGGTTTCGTGATCTACATTAGAATCATAATATTGGATGTTTGTAAATTAATGACTTTTGATTCATCTAAAAATATTGTTTAAAACTTCATATATGATTCAATTAGTGAATAAAGGTTAAATAGTCAGATTAGAAAATTATTATGTATCCTTTGTAATTTTAAGTATAGTAGATGATTAATTAAGCTTTGAGATCAACATAATATATAATTGTAGTTAATTTTATAACTTCAAATATTATATTGAAATACCATAAAGGTCATAGAAGCATAAGAAAAATGGTATATAAGTCTTAAATATGAATATATACTTGTTATATATAATATAAAAATAATTTACGTAGAATTATAATAGATTTATTAGTGTATAATTTAATGGGTTGTGTTATTGTGTTGACGTATTGAAATATGTTCTTTGTTACTTAGGTCATTATGAATGATTGCTGTGTGAGAAGTCTAAGTAATACTTAGCCATTTGTGTATAACGTCTAAGCCTAAGACTTTGCCATTTTTTGAAAGTCTAGGTAAAATACTTAGTCAATTATTAAGTTTAAGCGATATGTTTAGCCAATTAATAGCTAGAATAATTGAAATATTAATAATTGAGATTAATTGAAAATCATATCTTGATCTTTTGACATAGAATTGGTGTGGAATCTTATACCAAGGAGGTCCCTTAGTTGTTAATGGATCCAAACCTTGGGGTTAGTTAGCTTACTTTGGGAACCCCATTCATGCTCTATTGTGACTAAGCCCGACGTATCCTAGTGGATCCTTACCCTTGACAAAAGTGTTTGGGTGCAAGCTTTATTTTTGGGTGTTTAATATTGACATGTATGTACTCTTAGGCTATCTTATAAGCCTTTGGGAAGCATGTGCTTTTGAATGGTGCTACATGCAAATTGCACTAGAGTATGTGTGACATTACATATTGCACATGATATAACAACCTTTTATATGTTTGAATATAATTTCCTATTGTTATTGTTATATTTATTATATATGTGTATTTGTAATGTTTGTTTCAATTCAAACTTATTTCACACTAGGAGCATATAAGTAAAACGTATTTCACTCTTTTTTGTTTGTTATGTTTGTGTTTAGGGTTTAGGGTTTACCAAAGGTTTGATGTTGATTATAAGGCTTTGGCCTCCAAGACTATGGATAACATGCTTTCACATGATTGCGACATTGGGACTTGGGATACTCTATATATTTTAGTTGGTTCATCTTTTATTTATACATTTTAATTGTGTTAACTCATACTTCATAGACATTTGTATGACTTTCTATAATGTCTTAATTAATTATTTATCATAGATTTTAATATTGTTTCATTTATCCAAATAGAAATAAAATGTGGAATTTTTAACTTACCGTTGTTTTTATTTAAATAAATTGCAATAATTCTTTTAGTAATTATAATAATCACAAAGGGATAAATCGCATCACATATGAACAAGGTTGTATATTTGAAATTTTCTACCATCTTTATAATTTTTCTTACTAATAAAAAGGCTAAAATTTATACTTTTTAAAATTATACGAAATATTATATATAATAATACATAAAAAGTGTCATTATAAATACACTATATATAAGTATATATATTTGACACATGGATAAATACAATTTTAGTATTGATTTTAAATAAAATTTAACAACATATTTTATATTTTATATGTCACTATAGCTTATACCCAAACTTTTTAATAATATATCAACATATATTATATTTATTGTGTAGAAAAAAAATAAGTTTTAGTGACAATTTTTGTATCACTATATGGTGTGTCACTATAATAATTTTCTTGTAGTGTGATTATCTTATTTATTTATATTCATTTTGTTCATTTATCTATTAAAATGTTCATTTTAATTTTTTATCTTTTACATTTGAATTGATTTGATCTTTTTAAAACCATGATCATTTTTATTTTTACAACATAATTTTGAATAAAAATTTAACTAATTCAATACGTGAATCTTGTAACATTAAATTCACATTTATGAAAACAAAGTAATTCAATTAATGTTAACTTCAAGAGAGCTATAAATATAGTGAAAATCGTGTAAAAAATATATTTCATGAACAACTAAAAATTAATATGAAATTATATTTTTAAAATTTTTCAATTGCTTTTGAACTTATTTTTATATGATTTTTAACATGTTTATGAAACTTTTTTGTTTAAATTTTTGTTGTGTTCGATAATTTTCTTATAAGTAAATATTATAAAATAAACTTCAAGTCTTGAACTTGTTAAAAAGGGATTATGTATCAAAATTAAAAATAATTGTTGTTTCAAAAATAACCAAATGAATCAAAATTTTAAAAAAATAAAGGATTAAAATGAATATTTGATAAACGACCAAAATGAATCTTAAGTAAAATAAAGAAAATAATATAATTTAGTAAAAGAAAAAAATCCCATGAATTATACTTTGAAAATCAAACTCAAAAAATAAAATAAAAAAATTAGAGATGAAACTTCTATTTTAGCTTAATGTAAAATGCGATCTTGACATAACAAAAGCCAGTGTTGTAATTATAACTCAAAACAAGAAATAGTTAACCATTAAGTTTTTATGTTTTTGACATTAAGCCTAGCATCATTTTGAAAATATAAAAAAAAATGATATTTCGGCTATTTTATTATGTTTAGTTTTAAAAATAAGACGAATGGAGCCTAAATTAATGATATAAAACTGCATCGTGCAAATGTCATAAATTCTACGAATCAATAATTTTGAACCCTAATTAAGTCATTTATTAGTGTTACTGTAACACGTAAATGCATATAATACAATATGCAAATCGAAAATAAAAAAACAATAAAAATAATTGATACGATTGTATTTGTTAATCCTGTTTTATTTAATTAAAAATAACATAACTGCATCATTTTCCGTGAGTTCAGGATTTAAGGGAAGCGATAAACATCTTGATTAATATATATAAAAAATTAACATATATTTTCATCTTCACTTCATTATATTATAGATGATTTTATAATCTGTAAAAGATATTAATCCCTATAATATAAATTATTCTCTAATTTCTAAAATATTAAAAAAAGAGAAAAAATTAATCACTATATAAGAGTTTTTGACATGTACTACCAATGTGGCCGAGCTAAATTGGTTCAACGTATATGAGTTATTATAAACTTTATAATATTTATATGAATTTTAATGGATAAAAAAATTAAATATGTTTTTAGTATTTTAAAAAATAGGTGAGTTTATTTTTTTTTTTATCATTCTAAAATTTGTAAACATTATTTTTTTTTTTATAAATGAGCAAATTATAATTTTTTTATGTAAATTTTTTTTGTTTTTTGATGTACATCTTCAAAATATAAAGTCACTTTATTTTTCCCATAAAAATTAGTTTAATCTAAATAAATAATATTTTTTAATGATTTATAAATAAATTTAGAGGTATCATCCACTAGCATGATATATCAGAAATAATTGTGAATAACATCCAAGATAATCACTTAACTTTTAATAAAGAAACAAGTGATTAAAGATGATTATATAATAATATAAATTAAAAATAGTAATTCCAAATTTTTTAGGATGTGGCAAATCTAAAAATTTCTTTTCACAAAATCAAAATTTATCTATTTTATAGATATTAAGAACATATATTTAATAAAAATAATTGATATGTACTTAAAATAGGCATATTAAACCACTGATATTCAATTCCTAAATATGTCATTCTTTATTTCATTTAATGTCACTAATTTTAATAGATGAAATTTCAACTTTAATCAAAAACTATAAACTGTGTTTTTATTTTTATTTTTATTTTTTTCCCATAAAACATACCCTCTAATAACTAAAATTGTTTAGGAATAACAAGTAGAAAAGAAAAACTACACATATTTAACAAAAACTTTAACAATTCGTAATTCTTGTGGCCATTTGAATAGTTCTAGTTTCTTTATTTACAGCTTGTCTAAGAACAACGTGAGGTTGACAAACCCTTTGTACCCAAATACAACAAATGTATGATGCATATTAACTAAAGTCTATGAAGCAAACCCTAAAATCATGCAAGACCATACACTCATTAGAACCGTCTGACAAGCTTAATTAAAATGTGGTGTTTTTCTAAAATAAACCTAACCCCATCTTTAAAAGGCCATCAAGAGCCTCATTGTAACTCAGACCTGCAAGCAAAGATAATAAAACAACACAATTGTTTTATTAGCACAGTAGCGGGTCTCCAAAACAAGTCACATTTTGTTCATCATGGACATGAAGAAGGTCACTTGTGTTGTCCTCATTGCTGCTGCCTCCATGAGTGCTGCAGTGGCTGCTACTGAGGTTCCTGCCCCTGCCCCTGGCCCAAGCAGTGGAGCCTCAGCTACCTTGCCCCTTGTTGGCTCCTTGGTTGGAGCTTCTGTCTTGTCTTTCTTTGCCCTGTTCCACTAAGCACGTCATGGCAAGAGACTCACAAAAGAAACAAGGAATGTAAGAGCAAGAATCATAATAGAATGTAAGAATGGATGATGATATGATTTTGTAACCAAAAATATTTATATATACATTATTTAATGAGAATGTTCATGGCTTCATGCTAATGTGTAAACACTTTAACATTGCGTTTTAGAATAATATATAATATATCGATAAATTACATTATAAATTCACAATACCAAAAATGCTTTTTTGTGGCAATTTTTATGTTATTTAGTGACCATACAAATGGCCATTAATATCTTTACTGGCAATTAGATTATGGTCGTTGTATATGTGGTCGGTAAAACTATTAGTGACATTTAAAGTGAGTGCTAGTAAAGACCTTTTAAATGGCCGGGAAAAATAAAAGTTTTTAATGACAATTCTAGTGACAATTTTAATGGTCACTAAAAGTAATTTCATTGAATAATAGATTTTCATATATGTAAAAAAAATTGTATTGAAATACAATTGAATCTCATTAGATAAAATAATTTATTTTGATAGCATATTAATACTCAATTAGTTAAATTCAATTAAATAAAATTATTTTTAGTCCATGCATTGAAATTGATGAGGGAATCAAATTCAATTTTTCATCCATTGAATTTTTTATTTTTTAAAAAAACTACTTTCTTTACTAATATTCTCATCCACCATTTCTCATAAAAATAATGAGAATAATAAATTTTTTATATGAGTACTCCATATTTGCAATAACACCAAATACCCATTTATTAGAGTAATGCAAAATTTATGAGTTTATCATGTCCTTGAGATACCAAGGAAACCATTGAAAAGACAAAATGAATAGTCAATGATAAAGTACAAAATAAACAAATGTCCTCCTTCAATGCAGGTTCATCAATTTCCTGTTAACAATATAACATTTAATGTACTATCAAATCAAATTAAATGCAGTATTGCAATAAAGGAATAACATGTGTATAAGAAATGGATTAAACTCAATACCACGTTATACTTTAAAAGAGAAAATGAATTTGTTGAAATGGAGTATATGAACATAATTGTAATTACTTCAAACAAACCTTATGGCGTATCTGATGGCTCTAACCCTTTCTTTGACAACCGAAAAGTTTCTAAATACAATCAAAAAAAAGGTGGGTTGCATAGTGGCCATATTCAACATGGACTTACAAGCCAAATTTTCAAAATAAAACACTGGGGAAACCTGTTGTGTTTGACATGGACATGAGTGCAGGCGATTTTCTAGCTCTATTTTACCTTCTAAAAGTGCCGGTTCAAGTAATCGACCTTAAGGCATTTAATTTTTTTCATTTTTTTATTATTTCTTTAAATTTAATTGTTCTACATTAAACCAAATATTGACACCAAGATAGGAAAAGGTGCGCAAATGATTTCTTTTTATGATTTTAGCTCAAACAGGAATTTTTCTACTGTTAAGTTGGGGACTTACGTTACTTTCTACCTTACACTTGAAAATCCAAGTTCTGTTATGATGAAAAATATACACGACAGAAACATCTTGGATTCAGACAATCATTGTCAGCCCTACTGGATGGGCTAATAAATACATATAGCTCTGTTACGTTCATTGCCTAGTGTCCATTATATATGGTGATTAAATTATGGATTAGTATCATAAAGTAAAACAAACTAATTCTACCATGCACGTCTTAAATTTAAAAGAAAAACTGTGAATTGAAATTAAGTAATACAATGTCTAATAAATAATTACCATTCATGGATAAATTGGCAATTGCCTTTGCTGCTAGTATGCGAACAGCTTCATCATTATCTTTTCTAGTAAGCTTGAGCAAGGAAGTGAGGTCATCATCTTAAACCATATTGTTTTTGTTAACCTCTACATATTATAATAAATCAAATTACTATAGCAATTGGAATTTTAGTTGATTGTGATTCTACAAATCCAAACAAAAAGGTTGAGAAATTACAAAAGTAACTTATACCTCTTTAAGAAAAAATAGCATGTGTAAAACAATAAGACATGGGCCAAACCTGTTTTCACAATTACAATAGATTTTGTAGGTAATTGTGATCCTACAAATCCAAAAAGAAAAATATGTAAGCTATAGAATAGAAAAAAATTCAACCAGGATATCATATGCTGTCATACAAAAAAAAGACTAAAACAAGCTACATGATAAATAGATATTATTAAATAAATAAACACAAATGAATACTGCTTAAGAAAACAAATTATACTTGTGGTCTACAGGAGTAGGAGTATGAAGAATATGAAATAACGTACAGAGGAATCCAGCTTCCAATTACATAATTATCTCATGTACCTCACATCTTGTGATTTCCCTGTCAGATACTTAAACGGGCACTACAGCAAAAACCAATATGGTAGTATTGCAAAACACATATTCACCAAAGTACTAATTAAATGGTTTCTATTAGTGCCTTTTTTGTAATCATCCTATACTTCTCTTAGGTTCTGGGAGCTGTTCAAAATAAAGTGGAATAGAAGTTCAAGACATCCAATGTACATGAACATTCTTATACACAGAAACAATATTTTATTGCCCTGATAAAAACATTTAGACAAGATTGAAACAATAAACAAAAAGCAGTAACAAATTACCATGAGTATCAAAGGGCATGTGTGGCATCAACTCCATTTCTTACCCATATTATTCATAATCACTATCAGATTCACTATCACTCCCTCTTTTATTTTTGTCTTCAACCTCATTTGAAGGAAGGTTAGAATGTACACTTATTTCAAGTATTGTCCCATCAACTCCATTTCTTACCCAATTATTATTATCATGTTCTAAGTCACAAATTTTTTCCAACAAAGCCAAGTCATCAACATCATTATGCATTGATAACTCAAACACTATACTCCTTTTATGTCCCATGTCAAAATTGTCTCGAGGTTTTATTTGTCTAGGAATAAACCATTGTTGATCATGAGGATCTTGAACAAATATTACTTGTTGAGCTTGGCCTGCAAATACAAAAGGTTCATGACTTTCCCGATCACCGGTGTGTGTTAAATGTGAGAAGTTCACAAGTGTGAAACCGAACCCATCTTCCTTGACTCCTCTATCTTGGGTTACATCAACCCAATCACATCTAAATAAAACAACCTTAAATTCTTCAAAGTAATTCAACTCCACAATATCATTCAATCTACCATAATAAGTGATATCTGTGGACTTCGGAGCATTATCACTTGTACTTGCATAACTCTGTGTCTTTGAAACAACCATGACACCTCTATTTTGGGTCTTCATGCCCTCTTCATATTATTTTGTTCGAAATCGATTGCTTTGAATCTTCTTGAAATGTAACTTGGACCTTGTGCAAGGGCTTTTAGATCATTTTGGACTTCAACTACGAGCTCCAACTCCTTAACCTAACCATTAAGTAGTATTTATATATATATATACACACATGCACAAACATATTATCACACATTTTTTTCTATGTGCATCACATCAAGGTTATGGCGCACCAAATTATACTTCCAATAAGGTAAATTGAAGAAAATACTCTTCTTCTTCCATGTGTTCTTCATTACCCCAGTTACCCCTTCACTCAACCTTCCAAGAGTGAACTTTATACCTTTAACTTGATTTAGTACCATAGACCCCGATGTTTGACAAGGTGCAGGTTGAGATTCTTTAGTCCCATCAAATGACTTTGCATCGTTCCGAAATTTATGCCCTAGTCTCAAGAAGTGTCGATGACCCATATAGCAAAACTTTTTACCATGTTTAAGCCTTCTGGATTGAGTATGTATGTTGCAACAAGGACATGCAAATTTTCCATAAGTACACCAACCGGATAAAATACCATATGCTAGAAAATCATTTATATTCCACATGAGAGCAGCTCGCATTTGAAATGTCTCCTCAACATAGGCAACATAAGTTTCCACCCCTACATCCCATAATTCATTTAACTCTTCTATTAAAGGTTCCAAAAACACATCAATGTTATTTCCTGACCCTTTTGGTCCAGGAATGAGTAAGGATAGAATGTAGTATTCTTGCTTCATGCACAACCATGGTGGAAGATTGTATGGAATTAAAATCACTGGCCATGTACTATAAATGCTTTGCATCTTACCATATGGATTAAAGCCATCACAAGCTAACCCTAAGCGAACATTGCGGGGATCTTTGGAAAAATCTTGATGATGATTGTCAAAACTTTTCCATGCTTTAGAATCTACAGGATGTCGTAAACTCCCATCTTTATTACGCTCTTTATCATGCCACCTCATCAATATAGAAGTTTTTGAAGACATGAATAATCTTTGCAACCTTGATTTCAAAGGAAAATACCTTAAGACCTTGGCAGGAATCTTTTTATCATTGTTTTTCCATCGAGAAGCCCCACAAATTGAGCATTTATTAACATCCTTATCAGCAAATTCATTCCTGAAAAGCATACAATCATTAGGACAAAATGGATCTTTTCATACTTTAAGCCCAATCCCTCAACTATCTTTTTTGTCTCATAATATGAAGGAGGTAATTTTTCTCCTCAGGCAATGCTTCCTTTAATAGTCCAAGCAAAGCATTAAAAGACTCATTTGTCCATTTGAACATCCGCTTTATATGGTAAAGATGCAATAAAAAAGAAAGTTTGCTAAATTTCTTGCACCCAGGATATAGCTCTTCATTCGCATCCTTCATTAACTGTTCAAAATTCTCCACAGTTGGATGGGATTGATTTGTTGATGAATGAGGAATGTTTTCTCCCAAGTGTGGTTCAATATCATCTCCTTCACTAATGTTATTGAATTGGGTAGAGGCTCCAAAAGCATCATTTATCATTCTTACCATATCATCACCTTGAAAAGCTTTCTCTTTGCAATTGTTGTCTTCGACACAAATTGGCATATTTATTGACTCCCCATGACAAAACCAGGTATCATACGATGCCATAATACCATTCACCACCAAGTGCTCATAAGCTACGACACGATTTACTGAATAGTGTAGAACACATTCTTTACAAGGGCATTGAATTGTTTCTCCATGTTCTTGAGAAAAGGCATAGTCTAAAAAGCTCTTTACTCCATCCAAAATATTCTTTACTAACTCTATCACACTCCATCCACCTTTTACTATGAGGGTTATCCATGACTACTCAAAAATTCTGCATTTATATGAGTATTGCGATAATTGAAGCTTTGTATGTAAAAAGAAAAGGCAAGGCATGTGCTAAAGTATAAATGAAAACATTGAAAATAAGTAGCAATTTCTTTTGTTACTTTTTTTTCAATGTTTGTATGTCTATATATAAGTAGCTTATTTATTATTTCACTACCTATCATATATCAATAGTGTTCATGCATTCACACTCGTCAGATCCTAACTCAGAATTCACATCTTCAGATATAAGTTTGGCACTCTGAAGTCTGAACCTATATTTGTACCTATTATCATCCAAACATGTCCCAACTTCCTAAATCCCGTGACAAAGTGGATACAGAATAATGATTTTATATCATATTGTTTTTAGAATTTTGAAGACTCAACTAACTAGTTTAATTGATTAAAATATGTAGATTTTATATCTAATCCATCCAATTCTACCCAATTCAAATTTTATGACCATTTTGAATTAGCTTCTAATGACAGCTTTTTAATTGTGTAAGTTGAATGTGCATATGGTTAATTACATCTCATCATTGATTCATTTTATTTTTTCAGATGTGATCTAAAAAATGGTACTCTCTTTTGGGTTTGATTTTCAGGGTTGTCAAGGTGCAGTAAGAGTTGTAGACTTAGATGGACTAATTACCTTAGGCCAGGAATAAAAAAGGGGTAACTTCACAGACTAAGAGGAGAAGATGATAACTACACAGGGGTTTCAGTTTCTCAGCCAATGTCAAGAGGCCAGTGGGAAAGAAGGCTTCAAACAGACATCCACACTACTAATTATCAAAGCACCAAAGTGTCCTGTTATTATAAGCAAATTCACTTTGAAAATATCAGAAAAATATTAGAAAAGTAACTCATAATCTAGTACTTTGATGCACAAAAGTGTCCTGTTATTATAAAAATCAATCATCAAATGATTCCAATGTCTCAATTCCACTTATATATACATATAAATTGACAACGGGTAACATAATTTGTAAATAACTAACAGAATTGATAAATACTTAAATTTCTTATTATTGCTTATGTATATAAAAAAGATTAATCTTCAACGAATATCACGTGATTTTGTTGATCCATACCAAGACATAGGAAGACATAAATAAAAAACAACAATCATTTGGAAGAAATTTTTGGCATCTCCTTTATTTGTTACTACAAAATAGGACATGCATCAGTGACCATTAAAATGCAAACATTAATAAAGAAATGTTAGCTAGCAGCAGCTACAGTACAGTGCCTACAAAACGAGTTTACTGACCCTTTTTCTTTCCTATCTTCCTCTCTGTCTTCCCTTTGTCTATATTCCATTCATCTTCTTCCTTTCTATCCATATAATTATTATTAGTATTTTTTACTCTAACCATTTCAGATGAAAGCTTAATTATTATTATCCTTATCATTCATTATTATCTCTGCATAACTTTGAGGCATTTGCATGAAAATTTTAAAATCGAAACAATCATTCCGTAACAGAGAAATGGAGATAGAGAAAGAGTTTGAAATGGAAAAAAAAAGAAACGAATCATGCAAAACAAACCCTAAAATTGAAATTGAAGACAAAATCACAAGAGATATTACCACATGAGGATCCAAAAGGAGAATGAGTTGACGCAGCCATTGAAGCTATGCACAAAAGATAGAAGAAGCCATGACTAGAGGTTGAAATCGTGCGAGAATGAGAGTGAGAGTGAGATGAGATAGTGAGAAGCGAGAGTGAGAGTGAGAGTGAAAGTGACATGAGACGAGACGGTGAAAACTGAAAAGTGAGGCACCGGGAGTGAGGTTTTGTAAAAAAAAATCTAAATGAAAATTAATATTAACGGTAATTTTTAAAAATTGTCACTATAAATAAAGTTGGAGTGAGGTTTTGTAAAAAAAAAAATCTAAATGAAAATTAATATTAACGGTAATTTTAAAAAATTGTCACTATAAATAAAGTTTTACCGGCTAATTTTTATTGGTCACTAAAAGTTTTAGCTAATAATGATATGCAGGCAATTATCTTATTGCCACTAATTAATAGTCGTTAATGATACTTTTTCTTGTAGTGATTATTGCAAACGAGATTATGATTAGACGAAAAAAATCACGATCAAAGTTTTTTTTAATAAAAAATGTTGGGCAGAAACTGGTCTCGAATAAAAAATTGGATTCAAAAGTCCATTATGCATAAGGATACATACGATATCTGTTACAAAAATGGTTACCCTTATAAGAACAATTCTAAAACAAAAAGTGCAAAAAAGAACTGTACAGATTTTAATTTTATTTGAAATTATGTTGGAACTGAATTTTGGCAGATACTATAGGAAAGGCTGAGTTTTGCAAGATGATACAACCACACTACAGGGAACTTAATCATTTGGAGAGATCTTACCATGAAAAAAATTGGTATGTTATCTTTTTAAGTTAGAGTCTCCTATGTAACATTGTGTACGTTGTTACTTTATTGTATATGATATATGTTGTTTTATATTGTGTTATATGTTGTAATTATTGTTGTACTTAGAATTATGAGGATTGAGAAATTCTTGAATGTTAAAGTTATTTTGAATTGTTTAAGTCAAGATTAAAGTTGGTCGAGTTTTAAGGAAGATATATAAAGTATTTAAGAAACTTGAACTTCATAAATTCTTTTTTTTTAATTTTAGAGAGATAAATTTTAGAATCAAGAAAATTGTTTCTTCTTTTGACATTATTTAGAGTCCCTAACTCCTTCCCTGAGGTAGTAATTGAGTAGTTGAGTTTGATATTCAATCCTAGCAATTGTGAATCTTTATGAGAAGTTGTTGTATGAGAGGTTTTGAAATCTTTTCCATTTTCCTATCTTCTCTTTGCTGTGTGAAACAATTGAGATAAGGAAAGCTTGTTGTTTAAATCCTTAAGATGCTTTAAAGTTTTGTTTGAAGTTGTTCAGCCCATTGGTGGCTCAGTTGTTAAAGATTGAAGTTGTTTTTAAGTTGTAAAAGGTTAGGGTTTTTCAAGTGTTCAAGACTTATGACCCAAGGAACTTGAAAAATTGATGAGTTTTGATGTTGCATTGTAAATTGATGTTGAATTCATGATATATAGATTGTTTGGATGTTTCTTGATGGTTTGCATGTGATGGATCATATTTTTGGTGGTTAGATTTGATGAAATAAGATGAATCTACATGAGGAGAGTTCATTTTTTTTCCTAGCAAAGATGAATGCTTGCTTAGCCACTAATGTAGTATAAACTTTTTATGTGGAATATCTTGGATATTCTATGTCAATTCTAAATTTGTTATAGATCTCGATGACATAAAATGTTCAAACATTTTATGAAAGGTCAATACCCATCATAGAAAATGTATTTTTTATCATGGGTAGCCAACACTTTTCATGGTATGAGTGCCAAGTGTAATGTTTTTAACACATTGACACGTATTTCCTATGGTGAATAATTTCACACCCATCATAAAATATTCTACATTTTATGACAGCACGCGTCATAAAATGTGGGATTCTTTTAAAAAAAAATATTTGGATTTTTAAAAATTTTTCCCAACCTATATAATAAGATTTTTTTTCAAGTATAGTTTAATATAGTATAGGGTAGTCCAACTCAATACAGTCATATATAATATGTAATATGCCTTAAATAAACAATCTGTACTATCCGTACCGCGAAGCCGAGCTCTAGCTCGACATCACAGCGCAGAACGACCTCGATTACGCACTGGGCGATCTCGGCCAAGGCGAGGTCCGCTATCTAATTAGGTTATAACTGATCTCAGGCCCAAGGCCCAACGAAACCCTAATTCACACAAAGGTATGCGCATTATTTATATGAGACTCATACTCATACAAATCCTAACTTTGGCATCGGAGTCTCTTTTGCAGGTACCACCCCCATCTTGGAGCACGAGCGTACTAGTAAAGGAGGCTCACCGATCTTACCTGGCGGATCAGCTCTATAGCAGATTTTCGGTAAGAACATTTTGGTACCACCCCCATCTTGGAGCATGAACGTACCAGTAAAGGAGGCTCACCGATCTTACCTGGCGGATCAGCTCTACAACAGATTTCCAGTAAGAACATTTGGCGCCCACCGTGGGGCCGATCAAGACGGCTCTTATCGGCCACCCGTATGGTTTTCACCAGAATCCATAGCAGACGAGCAATAGATGACGCTGATCACGTGACAAGCATGTGTGACGCATCATCATTGAGAAGACTGATAGAACAAGTCGAGCAGATGCGGCAACAACACGACGCCGATCTGCGAAACATGCGTGCCAAGCACGAAATTGACCTAGCGACGCTGAGTACCACTAACAAAGCTGACCTAGCGGTGCTGCGCCCCGAGAATGAACGTATTCGCGCCCAGCTTCCTCGGCGCCCTTCTGATCAACCCCCTCCATCGAATAACCAACACGAGGAAGAGGGGCACTCAATCTCTCAACCCCCAACCGCGCCTAGGGCACCCACTCCCCGACCTGTCGCACATCAGTCTCACGCACCGACGAACAGGTCGGCCCACGAGGTCAATAATGCTCCTGCCCACGTCACGGAAAATCAAGCGACCTTCCGCCGTCATCCTTTTGTGGATGGCATCATGGAAACGCCTCTCTCTTCCGGATGGAAGCCTCTCCACATCGACCGTTACGACGGCATGACAGATCCAGACGAGCACGTCGATCTGTACATTACATAGGTAAACCTATACACTAATAAAGATGCTATTCTGTGTAGGGTTTTCCTGACCTCGCTCAAGGGGGCAGCGCTCAACTAGTACACTCAACTGTCGGTGGAGTCAATAGACAACTTCGACACTCTGGTAAGGCGATTCACGGCGCAGTATGCCACGAGTCGACCTCACCATGTCACATCAGCCATCTTGGCCAGTCTCAGACATGGCGACGACGAATCACTAAGGGCGTTCATGGAACGCTTTGCCAGTATCTCGGTTAAGATTCGAAAATTGAACCCCGAGGTCGCCTTACACGCCATGCTCATGGCACTCAAGCCTGGACCTTTTGTGGACAGCCTGTGTCTACGATCTCCTCTTGATATGGACGAACTCTGTGCCCGAGCTGCAAGGTACATTCAGATGGAAGAGCACTCTGCTTTTCGTGACCAGGTTCGCAACAAACCATAAGGAAAGCAAGACCAAGGTCAAAGCCACAAACATTTAAAGTTGGCGACCTTGTTTGGTGGGGTGAGAGATGCAAGAACAGACCCCTCCAAAGGAAAATTTGGAACCTGGAATTCCACCCACCTCAAATTTTATTTCTCTTAACTTGTAAATTCAGGTGATGTACTCTTTTTCCTCCTCAGCCTTTTTTCCCACTAAAGAAAAGGGTTTTTGGCCAAGGAAGGTTTTAACGAGGCACACCTCAGAAATAAATCAATAAAGCAACTCCATTCCCATACATTTTCGGTATTGGCACATTAACCATGACGACTTGCCAAGGTCGAGTTCGAACCTTGATGTTAAAGTCGGGTTCGAACCTTCAAATACAAATTACGTTGCCAAGGTCGAATCCGAACCTTGATGCCAAGGTCGAGTTCGAACCTTGAGATCACATTTTCTTAACCAAGGTCGAGTTCGAACCTTGATATGCCAAGGTCGAGTCCGAACCTTGAGACTACATTTTCTTAACCAAGGTCGAGTTCGAACCTTGTTATGCCAAGGTCGAGTCCGAACCTTGAGACTACATTTTCTTAACCAAGGTCGAGTTCGAACCTTGTTATGCCAAGGTCGAGTCCGAACCTTGAGACTACATTTTCTTAACCGAGGTCGAGTTCGAACCTTGTTATGCCAAGGTCGAGTCCGAACCTTGAGACTACATTTTCTTAACCAAGGTCAAGTTCGAACCTTGTTATGCCAAGGTCGAGTCCGAACCTTGAGACTACATTTTCTTAACCGAGGTCGAGCTTGAACCTTGTTATGCCAAGGTCGAGTCTGAACCTTAAAACTACATCACCTCGATGCTTCAAACAACAAATTTGGGAGAAGCCCCTTCGCTCTTACATCACTCGGTGCTTGGGGGGCAAGTGTGCTGGCCAGCCGAGTTGCCGACTTGTCCCTCAACAATCTATTGACTTGGTCAAAGGTTTACCAGCCTGACCAAGTAGTAAACTCATTATTGCTGAGTTCCTCAACTCGACTACCAAACATGGACATCGGAATACCACATCGGTCCAAAGAGGCCACGTTATCAAACAGATAAAAATACAATCTTGTCACCGCGCTGCAATCACAAGGTAAAACCCTAACAATGGCAATGTGCAGGTAGACAGTAAAAACCCTAATATTACCAAGGTACGTCTACATAACCGTCACCCCCCATTAGCACACCGCTTGCGCGTCTCGGGGAGCGAGGTGACACTTATGACACATGGCATCTTGACAGACAGGCGTACGTGAAAGGTCACTGCCCCTTGGCAAGCTCGGACTTAACCTACGGTCTTCAGAGCTCGGGGGGCTAGTGTACTATCCGTACCATCCTGCCGAGCTCGAGCTCGGCTTCACAGTGCAAGACGACCTCAGATACGCGCTGGGCGACCTCGGCCAAGATGAGGTTCGCTATCTAATTAGGTCATAACTGATCTCGGGTCCAAGGCCCAGAAAAACCCTAATTCACACCAAGGTACGTGCATTACTTATACGAGACTCATACTCATACAAACCCTAACTTTGGCATCAGAGTCTCTTTTGCAGGTACCACCCCCTCTTGGAGCACGAACGTACCAGTAAAGGAGGCTCACCGATCTTACCTGGCGGATCAGCTCTACAGCAGATTTCTGGTAAGAACACAATCAAATAACAATAATAACATAAAGTAATACCTTGTATATAAAGAAACACTCAACGATTCTAAGTTAATCATGTACAATGAACAAATTAAGAAAAAGTTTCCAATTTCCTAAATACAAATAAACAAACACAAAATTAGTTTAATAGTTAACTAACATGCCTCTATGATGGGTGTTGACTTACCGACATAGAAAGAACTTTCTATATTAGTAAAATAACACTTGACATAAAAAAAGTTTTCTCATATTTACAATTTTGTTATCGTATCACTTTCTATGGCACGTGACATAAACCCGACATAAAATGTGTTATAAAAAAGCTACTTTGCACTAATTAGAGTTCATCTAGGATTGGGCCCAAAATTACATTCTCGCTTAGCAACTTGATTTTTGCTCAACAAGAAGACAATTCCGTGATAGCTTCTTTTAGAGCTCGTCCAACAAGAGGACCCTCAAGGTTAAACCACTTAAATTGCTCATTCAGTTGTATGAGATCTCCATAAGTTGTTATACTTAACTACACATTTGTTACTCAATTGTATAAGTTGTTATCAATTATTTTCAATTTCTTATGTTGTTGTTTTTTTTTTATTTTTTTGGTTCGTTCCTGGAGTATTCACTACCAATAGCAGTGGCTAATCTCCTCGCTATATTGAAGACACTTCAAAAGATGAGATAGCTGACCCTAAGAATAACACGGCTGCATACATAAGGCAAGATTCGAACCCCTGACCTTGCTTAAGCATGGATCAACCCCCTACTACTGAACTACACGCTTGGGGTTCAATTTCTTATGTTGTTAACACTAGAAGAAAACACTGAAATAACTGTGAAAAATAAACGTCGACTAATAATTGATGCAAATATTATCATAAAAGCTGACATTATTTTAAGATGTAATATCGACTTTTTTAACACTAATTTAAATTAAATTACTATTAGAAAAGTTGACGTTAGTCGACACTATATTTAAAGAAATAACTTTAATTTTTTCGATGCTAAATTTAAAATAAGTCATGAATCATGTACTAAGTCATGAATCATGTACTATGATTTGGCGTGCGTATGTATGTATCAAGTCCACCATGTACTAAGTCATGAATCATGATAACCAAAGTCAAAGTTAGGCTCAACTAGAATTTAATGCTTTCGGACCTAGTGTAATTGTTTAGAAGATAAAATCCAGTTTTGGTATTTTTTTATATTATTGATAATTATGAATAATGTTGACGAAGTCTAACAACTTTTGCGTCTACTTCGTCTAGTTAAAGTTGAATATATACTTTGCAACTAAAATGATTGTTGAAGATCTTAATTATATGCTATTTGACACTGGCGTTCCCTTCCACTATAAGAAAAAGTATCATTAACGACTATTAACTAGTGGTAATAAGATAATTGCCTGCATATTATTATTAGTTAAAACTTTTAGTGACCAATAAAAATTAGCCGGTAAAACTTTATTTATATTGACAATTTTTAAAAATTACCATTAATATTAATTTTCATTTAGATTTTCTTTTTTTACAAAACCTCACTCCCGGTGCCTCACTTTTCAATTTTTACCGTCTCGTCTCATCTCACTTTCACTCTCACTCTCGCTTCTCACTATCTCATCTCACTCTCACTCTCATTCTCGCACAATTTCAACCTCTAGTCATGGCTTCTTCTATCTTTTGCGCATAGCTTCAATGACTGCGTCAACTCATTCTCCTTTTAGATCCTCATGTGTGGTAATATCTTTTGTGATTTTGTCTTCAATTTCAATTTTAGAATTTGTTTTGCATGATTCGTTTCTTTTTTTTTCCATTTCAAACTCTTTCTCTATCTCCATTTCTCTGTTACGGAATGATTGTTACCGAATTCGGTGACGGTCAAATGACAATAATGAGATAAGGGGGATGCAAATGCCGGTAAGTGTGCCTTCTCGGTTCTTCCATCGATTGTTAAATGAGAAATAAAGCACAAATTTTTTAAAAATGGTTGGCACCGTGCCTATATGACTTAATTTTCGATACAAAAACTAACAATATGATAGTTTCAGTGGTGTTGAACTCATAATATTTGCTGTTGAACTCATATTTAAAGTATTGAATTTAAATTTTGTAAATAAAAAAAACTAATTAATTTTTTTTTTATTAAAAATGATCCATCAGTATTTGTAAGTATAGCGTGAGAATATTATTCTCTTTGTTCTCTATTATAATATAAAAGAAAAACTCATTATTATATATAAACAAATTTCAAAATTTTTACGTTATTAAATAATATATTTTTAAAATATTTTTTTTAATGTATAACGTTTCAGTTGTATTTTTTAATATTTATATTAAATATAATTTAGAAATAATAAAATGATAATAAGTAATTAAATTTAAAATTTTATTTAATATTTTTCTTAGTTTTAGAGAGACGTAGCGTCTTTTAAATTCAAATCAAAGAGTTTTTTTTTTTTTCAACTTTTTTTTTTCAACTGAGCGCCTCAAACCACGATTTTGAATATAAATTCTTATACTTTTGAATGTAACCGATAACTTGAAGCAGATTGGCATTAAAAAAATGTAACTAATGTAAGACTTTATGTCAAATCAAGTAATGTCTCTCAATAGCTTAATTAATATTTTTTCTTTTAAGTTAATTTATTACATAAAACTTATTCTTTTTTATTTAAATAAAATCAAAAATTTAAAATCTTTTATCAACAAATTTATCTAAACAAAATTTTATTTTAATTCTAATCAATTATTGCAATAATTCATAATTCATATAATTGATTATTCAACCGTATTTACAAACACAAATACACACTCTTTAATAGTATGCTTATCCCAAACATCAGTTTGGATACATGAACAAAGTTAAAAGCTGGAGTTCATAATAGCTCTTTCACTAGTTATGCATGTATAATCAAATAACTGATATGTATCACATAAGCTGAAACCTAATCATTTTCTATCTTGCATCTAACATTGTGATGGAAAGCTCATTAACTGAGCCCAATATGTGATTTGAGGGTGCAGAATTTTCTTCATAAGTAACATCTTTCTCGATGTAAAAAGCAGGAACCTTTGGATTTGGCAATAATTTATCACCATTCAACATTAAAATAACAGATGACATGTTTGGCCTATCTTCCGGTCTTTGTTGCACACATAGTAGTCCTACCTGTATGCATCGCATGACTTCCGAGGGTGCAAATTGTTTTCCTATCACTTCATCCAGTAGTTCCATTGTCCTCTCTTCAGTCCATAATTTCCATGACTAAGATGGTGAGAACTAAGTTAGTAGGTTGGAATTGGAAATAATTAAATTTATACTAATTAGCAACATTGTTAGATCAATATGCTTACATGGCCAAGAAGATTATTGCTGTTTTCTGCGTCTGAAAATTCTCTGTTTTTTTTCCCACTTACAATCTCTAATATTATCACACCATAACTAAAAACATCTGATTTCATTGAAAAATGTCCACGTGTAGCATACTCTGGAGGTATATAACCACTGAAAATGACTTTTCATTATTAAAGTAGAACTTGACAATACATTATCAATAATCATAGTAAGATATAAAGTAACTTACTATGTTCCAGCCACCTTATTTGTGTTTGCCTCAACTTGATCTCCCAAAAATAATCGAGCCAAGCCAAAGTCTGATATTTTAGGATCCAAATTTGCATCTAGTAAAATGTTACTAGTTTTAAGATCTCTATGAATAACCCTCAGCCTAGAATCGTGATGAAGATATGAAAGTCCTCGAGCTATGCCACTAATGATGTTGAAACGCTTATGCCAATCTAGCAACCTCTTTTTGGTCTCGTCTAGTAAAAAACAGACATGCATTTAGCGCAACAGTTACAACCTTCATCATTTCATGAACCACAAATACAAAATTAAAAAGAAGATTTCCATATATATGACTTGATCAATGTTTAAAATAATCGTAAAGGTTCCGACCAAAAACAAAGTTGTCCAAGCTTTTGTTAGCCATGTATTCATAAATTAACATTTTTTCTTCCCCATCGATGCAACAACCCACAAGTTTTACAAGATTACGGTGCTGAAGTTTTGCGATCAAAGCTACTTCGTTTTTGAACTCTTCTAACCCTTGGCCAGATTTCTTTGAAAGCCTTTTCACCGCTAACTCTTGTCCATCTATCAGTATGCCCTGGAAAAAAAAAATCATCTTCAAAAACTAGAAATATTTTATGAAAAAAAAAAAAATTTTGGAAATCAATTTTCTTTATCACCTTGTATACTGGTCCAAAGCCACCTTCTCCTAGCTTGTTTTTGGTTGAAAAGTTTTCAGTAGCATTAGATAAGACCGACAAATTGAAAGTTGGCAAATCAGCAACTTCGTGTCTATGTTTAATTTTGTAGGGCTTGCTATTAAGTTTTCTTACTATTCCTGTTTGGTTGAAAGATAGCAGTATTTAAACACCAGCTAACATGTAAAATTCATATACTTTGTTTTCTTCTTTTCTTGTTCCTAACTGGCTATATTCAATGGTAAATTATATTTATATACTTACCTGGATTTTTTATTATAAATATGCATGCACATGTGACTAATCCAAAAAGAATCACACCAACAGTGATTTCTATTGTCCTTTTCTTGATGTTTCCATGGCCAGCATGATCTAAAAGTAACATAGTATGATCAGTCACCATAACCAACTTTAAGCACAGCAGCTGTAGTGATTCAAGCTTAAAAAATTGAATCTAATTTCTTTACACCAAGTGAGAGAGAAAAACATTTTATTTAATTAGAAAAACAAATGCCACATAATAAATACAATACATTACTAATAAATTAGTTTTATTGGCAAAAGCTTGCAACCAACATATCTTCCTTTCAATTATTTTCATTTGAGCATGCATTTCAAGGCACAACAATACAATGATTGCTCAAGTCACCTTGAATATTCTCATGGCCTTACCCTACTCCACTCTTTTCTCGTAGAATAATGCAATAATCAACAGGAAATGGAACGGGAAAAGAAAGGGAAGAAATCCAAGGCAAAAATCAAAATCAAAATAAATTAAAAAAATTGATTGAGTACCTAATTCTGAAGCAGGGACTCTGACATACAAGTCTTGTCCCCATTGAGGGAATTTCCTCGAGTCTACTAAAGTATTAAACCAAAGTAGACAGCCACTTCCTCCATCACGAATATCTAAATTTGCATATGCTGCACAGGAACAATTTTTAAGACATGACTTCCGACATTCATCAAGGTTCATGGTTCTATTAAACCATGATGAAGACGTGTCTGGCAATTTCAAGTGTGTGTACTTCAAGAAGCCATCTGCATAACTGTTTTTGCAATTAGATATATTCCTTGGAACACAACCATCGGACCAAATTGCCACATTCCATTGATCAGGATACTTGGGAACATACCCTCTCAGGCATTCACAAGTTGGAGAGTTACCATCATAATTGCAAATAGAATTTGCACCACAAAAGGCATAACTCTCGCATTGATCTTTCTCCTCACTTGTGAAGGCCACTTGCCGAGTGCTTCTTTGAGTTGACCAAAACAAAATCTTCCCTGCACCTGAAGGGGTCAGTGTAACTACCTCGAAGAACGGTCTATCAAGAAGCTCAAACTCAAAATAGACCTCTTTTTCATTGGACACAAATTTTAATGACGATTGAGATGGAGCCGGATTTCCAACTAGAGACAAACCATTCCATGATCCTTCTCTCATTATTATATCATGTCCCTTGAATTTAATTACTTGAGGATATCCTCTAAGATCCATTTTAAAAGCATATTCTCCCTCAGCAGGATCTTCAATACTTTTCCAAGATGATACATATCTTTCTAGACCAGTCTCTAAGTTCCATCCAACTTTCATACCTGACAGCCATGTATCACCCGGATAATCAAAACTTTGCCACAAGACACTGTCCATGTTGATTTCTTGTCCATTTTTCACAACAAAATTTCCGGAATCCAAAAGATGAGCAGTTGGATTATTCCCTTCGTTGCTTGATATGTTGGAAGACCAAATAGTGTTGTTTGTAGCATTGAGAAGCACAAGAATCCCTTTTTCATTGAGTTTGAGAAGTCCTGATTTATCATCAAGAGGGTTATTTCTGTTGGCCACCCACACCACTGTTAAAGGGGATACGTTTGTGTACCATATACCCAAGTATCGTCTTGTTGAATTTCCTGGACTGAAGAAACCCACTTCAATAATTCCACTTGCAGAAACCAAGGTATCACCATCTCTGATAGATTGACCCACTGCTAAACTGTCTAGTGAAGTGGAAGTAGTAATCAGGTAGGAGAATAATAAGAACCAAATGAATAACATTTTCATGCTATGGAAGCAATGACTTATAAATTACGTTCGCAACCACGATATGGCCTCTACCACTAGTAGAAGTAGAAGGTTGAGGAAGACGAGCTTTTGGGAGAATATATAAGGTTTTTTGATTACGCAGAGGAATTATAGCAATAATAATATGCAAGAGAAATTGACATTGATATTTTTCTACTATAGAATGAGAGAGATCTCAATGAACTGATTCGGAAGGGGGCCAAAAGGGAAGTTGCAAAAGAGTGTTAGAATGGTAGATGGTTAATAGAGTAATACCAAGACAACACAACACTCATTATTGTCAGAACTCAAAAGAAGACTTGTAAGTCAATGACAACCGTATAGTTGTTGCGCGTATAAAAGTCATAATAGAAATTAGATATAACAAAAGATATTCTTCCGTTGCGGGTGATGCATGATAACGAATTGTGTTGAAAAACTTATGTTACTTCATTTTTTACTTTGAAAAAAAATATAATGGTGCCAAAAATTCTGACAGAGAATATACACTACAACAAAATTTATTATTAATATAATAAAAATTATTTAATACTATTAAAATAATTATTTTTATTTTATTATTTAAAAAATATTAATGACTAATATATAATAATTATTAAAAAAAATATTTATATTATATTAAAATTTATTATTAACAATAGTTATTTATTAAAAAAAATTTAAGTCTCATATCAATTAAAAATAAGATAATTAAAGAATATGTAAGTGGATAATAACTCTCACCTTACAAGTTAATTTTGTATGGTTAAATTAGACCCATAATTTACTATTCTAAGTTAGTATATTAGATAATTAAATAATATATAAGTTATGAATCATTTCTTAAATTTTTAGTAGTAATAGAAAAAAATTAAATACCAGTTAAAATTGCCACAAAAATTTAAACATTTTTTTTTATCATTATAAAAATCTTTATCAGCATGCAGAATAATATGAAAATACTAGTAAAAAATTTTGTAGTTATTTTTATTGTCACTAAAAGTCTAATTTTTTTGTAGTGAGGATGAGAAAATATAAATCCAAATCATACAAATATATATATATATATATATATATATATATATATATATATTCCAGTAGTGTGTAGT